TGATATTTTGGACGTCTTTGAGGTTAAGTAGCAAACAGTTGCCTATTTCTACATTATCATTCATTTGGAGTCCTGTTTGTGTCCACCCTTTGAATGTTAGTCCAATATTCACACTGTTTTAGGTCTCCAACTCCTGAGGGAAATATCTGGTTATTTTGCTCCACTATGTTCACCAGCTAGTTTCTAATTGTGTCTGTCTGCTGCTTGCATCTGAGCAGGTAGCGTACATTAGGTTTTGAGAGCTTTTTTTTGTATGTGTGTGTGTGTGTGTGTGTGTGCGTGCAGCCAAAAGCGACGCTATGAGGGCTGTGAGAGTAAACCAGAACAGTAAAGTTTTGGGCTGGACAGATGAACAATGAGGTGAAACTCACTATATACTTCCGTGGAGCTGAGGGGAACTGCAGATTCAGGTGGTAATTATGTGTATCTCGTCACTATGAGAGACCCCTTTTTGCATTGCCATTTGACACACTGTCATTATGAAAATATGGAGTATAGATGCTTCAAGTAAAAGCAGCAAGGCCACTGTGGGAAAAACAACCCACTCAAGTTCACAATTTTACCCAAGGAGACGTAAAAAACATAACTGTCAAATGTACCAGCATTTCTGTAAAGTTATCTGCAGTTAAAGTACTATTAATATAGTACAAGTTCATCAATTATGAAATTGGAATGGGGGATAGTAATGAAAATTGTCAAAATGAAACCTACAAAAAAAATGACTCCGAAAATTGATAAATTGGATTGAGGAAATCCTGATACATAAATAGATGAATGTGTGTCTAATTTGTAATGGAAAATATTAACCCTGCTGTCATGATGTTTCCTCAAAACATGTCAGTGGCTGAAGGAAGATAGTTACATGATGACCATAATTCATCTGCTCAGATGCAAAAGTCTACACACACAGACAAAGATAACAATTAACATGTGTGTTTTTTATGTTACACAGATAGTTTGGATTATGATCACTATGTTACACTCAGTCTTGTTTAAGATCTTTCATTGCTTGCTGCCAAAACTGAAAAAACAACATGCTGGGTTTATCCAGCGTGACGGCATTTAACAGTTTCGTTGTAGTATCACAGACGTAGCTGTTATTTAGTGAGAACTACATGTGAGAATACAGTGTACCTCCAGCGGGGTTTTCCTGTGGTTTGAAGTTTTATGCTTGGACTTATTTGCATGTAACCTGATAATAAACCATTCATGCATTAAAAGTTTGTTTGCTCACAATTCAAAACACATCGATCTCGCACGCTGGCATGAACTTGATGGTCTACTTCCAATCACAGCAGGGAAAGAAGCAGCTTGCCATTCAAACTGCAAAGTGAGCAGAATACAGATGAAGTTAAGAATTTAAAGGATGGTCGTGTTTATGTATTTTACACTTGGATCGCACTCCTTTTTCATCAGCAATTCTGATTTAAGAGAATACATTTTATGGGCATTGTGGAAATTCAAACAGTTTGCTTGTTTGTTAGATGTGTTGGTTCATGTTTTTTTAACCTGACAGTCTTCACAAGTGTATTCCTTAGTTCAACATTTGAAAATGTGGCGATTTAATAAAACTTACCTGACTCAAAATGTGTACATTAAACACTGCATTTAGGATAAGAGAAGAAACACAGTATAAAACTTGTTTTAAAAAAGAACCATTTTATGTAACTCTGGTGACATTTAGGTCTATTGTATAAAGATTAAAATAAATCCTTACATCCAGGCATAAAGCTCTGAAACACCTACTTACATTTTCTCTGGCTGAAACTGAGCAGCTTTACTCTGCATGTTTATTCAGAGGCACTTTATGTAAAAGTAAATAGGCTAAGAGCATCATGAAAAAACATTCATTCGATGTTTGTGCTGCTGGATCTCAAGCGACTAATCTTTTAGGGTTCCTGCAGCATAAGTTAAGTAAGATTTCAGGCTTTTAAAGACTCTTTAATGCCACTCAGAATGAAATTTAAGAGTGGTTTTACAATTTAAACAAAACTGAGCGGGGAAAAAAACCTTGAATTAAATATTTCGGAGTCTGGGATCATTGCTCGGAAAAGGTCTCCTACTCCCTCATTTGACTTGTATGATTTGTCATTTGTCACAGTGTGAAGACTCCCCAGTACCTCTCCTTTCTCTGTTGGCGTACACTCAAATGTTGTTAGGAGATCTTTTGCTGCTGACCTGGTGCTGTTATGGGAGACTGGGCATAGTGGAGGCAAAGCAGAACTGCAAAATACCTGCTGTTTGTTACCAGGTTTTCTTGGCGATTTTGTGTTTTTCACTGTGTTGCATGGTGGATTCCACTGCCTTGATTCCCATTGTGCCAAGTTTCAAAAAACTTTTTTCCTAAACCAGCCTTGTATGCATGGCCTTGTAGTGGCTTCAGCCACGCCAAGAAATCCTGGTAAAACAGCCACTTTTCAGTGAATTCAAGGTACAGTGATAGCTAGCTACCAGACGCTGATACTCTGCTCTGAGCATCCCGGCTGGAAACAAAATCTGAGTTTTGTTCATTCCGCTATCTGCGAGAAATCAATGTGAGATGCTTATGGTAAATTATTGTTACCAATTATTTTGAGATTTTACAACGCAACTTCAGAAAAAAAGGATTCATAAATCTTACTGCCCATGTCTTAAAAATTTTTAAGACCTGATGAAGATGATTTAAGACATTTTAACACCAATTAAGTCCTTTTTTTAGATTACTGAATTCAATGCCTTTTAAGGCTTTTTAGGAATCCATGAGAACCCTATTTTTAAAGAGTCGACAATATGTCATCAAATAATTGAAAATTACAGTACTGATATAGGTCCACTGGTGAATGAAACAGACAGCTATAGATGTTAGCCCATATCTATTACTATTCTATTCTATTCTACTATATCTATTCTTTATTCTTTGGGCAGTGTGAGGTTGTTCGATGGGTGATAAATGCATGCTTAAGTATGCAACGTGATGACATGCTGTTACATGCATATGTAACTTAAAATAACTCACTATTGACTTTTAGTTTTGCACAGGACACGAACCTGTCCTTTCTTTGACCCATCTACCACCCCAACCATCTTCCTGATATAGACTTTTTGGCTCTTTATACTGACCTGACTTATTCCCACAGTCCCGCACAGCCTGCAGCAGATAGATCCTAAGATCATCGTCTCATCGCTCATGATTGTGTCAGTTATACACAAATAAAGTGCTTAGTTTTTATAGGTCAAAGTATTTACAGTGAATGAGAGCAGCCTGAGTTGTTATACGGATGTTGTTAAAATGCCCTTTCATGCACAATGACATACTTTGAGCATTATTCATCTATTGTCTTTTTCAAAGCTTTTCACAGCATGATGTTTTATGAGTGCTTGTTTGTTTTTTGTTTGTTTTTCTTCTATAAAAGATGCCGTCTGTATCAAATAGCCTTCATGCGTGTTTCATTTTCCAACTGAACCAATTTTTGTCTTCCTCTGGTTGGATGATTTGCCCTGCATCTATGTACTGTATGTACAATATATGGAAATGTTGTGATGGTTGTTGTAAAATTGTACATCATGATGGTTGTTCCGACTGAAACATACTAGTAAATAAATAAATCAGCAATAAGCGAGAGAGGGTGTGTGGGTGTTTCTTACTTTTGTTTAAGAGCCCTTAAGTTAAAGTAAGAATAACAACAACAAAATCTAAAAACATGAGTTGATATGGGAGATGTTTAGGTTGGAATGACAGATTCAAAAGTAAAATTCCAACAATTTACTTATGGTTAAAAGACATGAAATCTTGCACAGGTGTTTAAAGATATCATAAAAGTCTAGATAAACAGAAACATTGCTGGAAGATAAAATAGTGTATCTCCAGCCTGGGAAACACCATGTTCTTAATTTGTGTATTAGTAATGTACTCTGACTCAAACTGATGAAATTGTTTTGGCTTCCCGTCTGGGGAGGATGTACTGCAGTGGTTGTGTATGGGCAGCAGGGAGTGCTAAAGGCAAAAACTTCACTCTCCTTCTTCAAGAAAATGTGGGAGTCCCTGTGGAAATTCTGTGCAGGACTGAGAGGGTCAGATAAAGTTTGCTTGCCCCTCAAGTTCAGAGTGTGTGTGTTTGATAAAGTTCTCATAGCAAAGATCTGAGACTCGCACCAGTCTCAGCAGTCCAAAACACTCCTCCGAATCTTGCTGACAGTGGAGACGAGCGGATAGAGTTAATATGAGAAAGCTAATGAATATGAATGAGGTAAATGAAAGCTGATGAATGTTATCCCTTATCTCCATAAAGATTGGACAATTCCCTTGAACCTCTGCCAAGGACACACACAATAAAGAACAAATTTGAAGAGTTAGCTTGTCTAGAAATTTGATGGACGTTGATAAGGTTACATCACAACGCAGTGATTTATAATGTCTGGATGAGAACGCAGGGTATGATCTGAGCTGAGACGCAGAGGAGGCTGCAGTTCACTTTTTAACAGTTTGTCCATCGTCATGGCAATTGCCAAAAAAAATCAATGTAGATTTTAAAAGATCTTTTAACAATATCCCGGGGCTAATATACACATTAGAGTTATTAAAATGAATATGTCTATTAGGGTCTTTTCTTCCCAAGAGACCACTGCTAGCTGACGAAGAGATATATACTCTCATTTTCCTCTTCATTTTCCTGGTGTCAGATCAATCATGCACCATCCCAACTCAAGGTGAAACCCATCAAAGTGTCATTCCCCCATTGTCAATGATTCACAGGAAACTCCGACACACAGACTGGCAGGCAGGCAAACAGAAAGACAGCATCAACAAGCGAGTTAGGGGGAAACAAACAGCCATGATGCCTGGAGAGATTAATCTGCTTTACTGCCAGTCCTCAAGAGCAAAACAGGGGGGGCGAAATTCACTGTGAACACAAGTCCCAGTCGTAAAATTGACTCATAAACATCATCAGGCCGCATGTAGAAAGTGCTGAGATAAAGTGTGTCCAATCTATGAGATAAGATAGGTTGGTGAAACTTTGCTCAGGAGCTGTTGGCCACAGAAACCTCAGGTGGGATGCCAAGAGGTAGATCCTCTTGTAAATGAGAGTGTTAGCTGGAGGATAGAGTCAGTAAAGATTTGAGAAGTGCCTGTGTTCGCCATGCTGTGGACTGCAAGTCTTTGCCTCCTCTGGGCCTCGTCCATCCTCGGAGCCCCGGCAAACAAACAGAGACAGAAGGTGCTGCTGATCTCCTTCGATGGATTCCGGTGGGATTACGACCGTGATGTGGACACACCGAACCTCGACAAAATGGCCAAGGATGGAGTCAAAGCCCTGTATGTCACACCTCCTTACCTCACTATCACCAGTCCTACACACTTCACCCTCTTGACAGGTAAAGTGTTTCATTTTCTACAACAGTGCTTCCAGTTGGCAGGGGATCTGCATATCATGGCGGAATAGGAAACCGCTCTGAGTTTACTTTGCTAGGATTGAAAAAAAAAAAGCCACAGGAAAAAGGAATTAGTTGTAATTGAATGTCCCAGGGTCCAACAGCTTTTATAGCTGAGTAAGATAATTATGCTTGGATGACTGAGGGAAGAATTCTCTGCTCCCTTTCTTATTTTGACTCTCAAATCATCAGCGCCAGCTAAAAGAAATTTAACTTCCTTGAAATTAAATTCCTCTAATCTCCGAAGTTGGTCATAAGACCTTGTCCAAAAGCGTCATGCCACTCAGCCCGTTAAGTTGATAGAATTTTTAATGTGAATGTGTCACGCTATGAATAATGAGTGCAAGCAGACTTGACAGTGATTCTCTTCTGTAGGCCGCTACATTGAGAATCATGGGGTAATCCACAACATGTGGTTCAACATCACCAGCACCGAGAAGAAGCCTTACTATCAGACTCAGTTTGTGAATGAGTGGTGGGACAATGGCACTCTGCCTATCTGGATCACAGCGCAGAGACAGGTCTGTGCAGCACAATTTCCGTCTTATCACTGTGAGAGACTGTTTTGCAGTTTACAGCACTAGAAACCATTTCTCTTGACAAAACACCTTTGAAGGGCTGCTGAATAATTTCAGGTAAATCACCGCAGTTATACTGAAAATTATTTGGCAGGTATAGATGTTAACTGCATGCAAATGACATCTGCTGCCTAAAAGGTTCAGCTGAAGGTTTCAGAAAATTAATGAAATCCAGAAACTACTGTTTTGGTTTCCATGTACAGTATGTGCAGATCAGCTCTCAGCACCCTTGAATACATGTCAAGAACATGTATATGTGTGTGACCTTACTGTGTCGTTTTCCTACCCTTCCAGGGCTTAAAAGCTGGCTCTCTTCACTTTCCTGGCACAGCTTCCAGTTACCAGGGACAGGTTGCTATGGTGCGGGAAGTGGAGCCACTGCTTTACAACTACAAAAACGAGACCGCTTGGCGAGAGAATGCAGACAAGGTGATGGACTGGTTCAGAGACCAGGATCTGGACTTTGTATCCCTGTACTTTGGTGAGCCGGACGGCACAGGCCACAGATATGGACCTGATTCCCCAGAGCGTCGGGAGATGGTCAAGCAAGTGGACCGGACGGTGGGTTATATTCGACACTCAGCTGAGCAACACGGGCTGACTGACCACCTTAACATCATCATTACAGCAGACCACGGCATGACCACGGTGTACCGAAACGGTCTGGTGGAAGAGATCACCCTGTCCAAGATCCCGGGCTTCTCGTTCCGTGACCTGTCCTTTCACCTGGTGGACTTTGGCCCTTCTGGGATGCTGTTGCCGAAGCCAGGCAAACTGGAGAAGGTTTACAATGCCTTGAAGGGGGCCCATCCACACCTCCATGTGTTCAAGAAGGAGGAGATGCCAGAGCGCCTCCACTTCGCCAAAAATGATCGCATCCTCCCCATCATTTTATGGGCCGACCCTGGATATGTAATCAATGGGGTGCGTTGACAGATAGAGTCAAGTTTTCTTTTTCTAACTTTCATACTCAATAATTGGTTGTTTGAGGCCTGTGAGGCCGCAGGCAAGCATTTTGCAGAAATACAACTGTTCAATGTTAATCAATCACTAAGAGGCAGCATTAATGATGATGTGTCAAACCATACGTTTTTTTCTGACATCACTGCCTTGGGTTTAGCCAAAAATGCAACAAGCTGGAAAGTTAACAGCCATAGAGAGATGTGCAGCAGCAGTTTTCTGCCCACTGCATGTCCTATTGATTTACCCTTTAAAGTGAACAGTTACCTCAGGTTGCCATTTGTGCCCATCAACTTGCCAAGCTGCTGAGTGTAACTTTAAAGCAGCAGCATGCGAAAACATTACTTTAACTACTACTAAGAGCAAAAGCTGCCACAACAGTTACTTTTCACGTTGTGATGGTATTGGTGCTAAGAGCAGTCACTAATGATTATGCTATTACACCATTAAGTGGTTATAAAGGAATAAAATGAAAGGGCACTGATATACTGAGGCAGGAAAATAGCCAGATAAACAGTGTTTATGTACCACCCAGTCTATTCAAGAAATGTCCTCAGGTGTTGACGACAGAAATACTTCCATTACCAGTAGCATTTTGCTCACAGGAAATGGTGAAACTGGACTCTTTTTAACCACAAACAAGTAGTTAAATTCTAATCTTAGTACATTACAATTTCAATCAAGTGGAGCTGCACATACTCAGGATAATCCAGGCCTGTCTGATGACATGTAGTGCTCTCAAATGCTTCATGCAGCTATTCATGCCTTAAAATTCAAAATTAGTGTTTTCGTTTGACTCCAACTCACTTAGTCACTCCACTGAGCGCTAACTTTGCATCTAAATGTGTCACTCAGTACTGAGAAGCGACAAATCATAAATTCATTTAGAGAGTACACAACTGAAATCATAAAATGTCTTCAAATGCTGATATGAAGAAAATAATCAGTGCTGTGAATCCACTGATCAAACCTGTTATCTAAAGTCTATAGGTTACGACTGGCCATGAAATTTACTGTATTATCTGAAACTCTTTTCTCTCCTTTATGGCCACTTAAGCTCCTCTTTGTTTGATCTCATAGAAGGATAAGCATGTTGAGGCTGTTACATAATTGCTGAGATAAGTGGCTATTAAGCATACTGATATCACACTTATCACATTTTGTTGGTGATAAACAAAATACATACTCTGAAATTACCAAAGAAATTATGTCCTATGAGTATTTAATGAAAATGGAAATTTTAGAGACGGATTAAAATTCTCATTTAGCCACTTTCATTGGTTGTTAGAAGTCACAAAAATGTGGGCCTTCATTCTACAGTATGGTAACGGCTCTTTCACTTGGGCAATACCTCCCTCTACTGACTGGATAAGAGTAAGCCAAGATGTGTCAACTCTGTTGCTGATAAGGTCCTGGTACTAATATCACTGGCTTATAAAAGTTACAGTCTAATTGAATCTAACAAACTGGGTCATGCATGTAACGTTATCCATCCCTCTGTGTCCTTGCAGTACTTTCCGGTTCAGTTCAACAAGGGTGAGCACGGCTATGACAACCACGAGATGGACATGAAGCCCTTCTTCAGGGCAGTGGGTCCAGCATTTCACAAGAACCTGGAGGTGGGGCCCTTTGAGACGGTGAACATCTACCCCTTGATGTGTCATATTCTGGGCATCCAGCCTGAGGTCAACGATGGCCACCTTAATGCCACCAAACACATGCTGGTTACGAGCGCTACCACTCAGGGTGAGTTTATATCAGACTAATGAGTCTCTCCCCGTGGCCTCAAAAGTGTGTCGCTCCAACACCTGCTCCTTCATTACTAGGCCATTCATCCATCATTTCCGGCTTAACATATGTCCAAATCAGATGTAGAGCTACTGTAGGTTAAAACAAAAAAGAAGATTTGGCATTGGTCATAGTAACTTTGAAAAGAGAGTGTAAGAAAGGTTGTCTTAAGTGTCTGGTGTTAAAAGATTAACGGACAATGCTGCCAATATTTTATGTTTCTTACTGCCACAAAAATACCAAAAACAACAATATGTTTGTTTGTCTCAAAATTTTATGACTTTCCTTCCTTGCCTGTCAAATTCAGCCAAAAACCCATTGGTTTCTACTGAAACAAAAAAAAAAAAAAAAAAAATCTTTAAAAAATGTATGGTGTCATTTTTGTACTTTTTAGCAAACATTCCTCAAACTGAAAGCAGTTGTGGTGTTGTTGGGGACTATTTCCAGCAGTGGATTAATCCACACTTGTGCTATTGTGTGCATTTCTGACAGCACTGACTGTGCAACAATAATACTTTTGTGCCTGGGCAACACGATTAAGAAGTTATAGGACAGAATGTAAAAGTTGTTAAAGCGCCACCATGTGGTTGGTTGATGCAACTTAGTGCCTGCAGAGCCAGTATTCTGGTTGCCTTAGGTTTTGCTGTTTTGCAAAACCAGATACTTTTAGGGGGAAAGCAAAATAGTAAAAAAAATAACGCTGTGGTCCTTCATAAATATACTACATATATACAGCTATTTAATATAAGCACAAAATACCAGTAGTACGCAGCATCAGTCTAGAATTAACAGCACCAACTCTTCAAAAGGCATACTTGAACTGTGAAAGTGTTCTCTCCATATGTTCTGTTTTGTTTCAGGTGGAGATATTAATTTCCTGCAAAATGTCTTCACTGGACTGACTGCAGTGGCTGGATCTCTTGTTGTAATTTTTATAGTAATGACATCCCACAAAATACTCTACAACAAATGCAAAAATAAAAGGTAATTACAAAGTCCCCAGGTTTGTCCCCTGTAGTGTTGGGTTTGTGATACTGATATTAATGTCAGAATATGGCTACTGCATTCAAAATAATTTTACATGTTTTAAATTCATTCTGTTCTAATTATTACATTAGATTAGACATTATTTAAATTAGGACTATCTTTTAAAATCAAGATCAACAAAAGAAGTGGAAAAAACACAGTATGATCACATTATTTTGATAACATTCAGCCAAAAGTTCACAAACAATATTTTTTAGCTCTCAGCTGTACCCCCCATGAATTTCTTTTTTCTGTGTTTCAGATCAGGAAATCCAGAACATCTTCCAGAAAAAGAAAAGACAAAACAAACTTCGCTCTGATGATCATACACACACAAAAACTTTCTGCTGCAGCCTGACATTGACAACCAGCTGCCTGTGGACAGTCCTGGATGATTTCTTTCATCCCATGAGCGGAAATAAACTGTGAATTACACAAGAGTTGTTGCATGTCTATTTTGTAAATTATGATTTGATTATGATCAAACTTATAAAATAACTTTTCAGATAAATGTGTGTTATTTTGATGACTATTTAGATGAAACTTCTGATGCAGTGTATGAGTTAACAAGGTTTATATGTAGGCTGAAGACTATTATTCTCTGTTTGATTCACAATGTGTTGTTGTGTTGTAGATGTTTGACTTTACTTATGAAGTTGACTTAAACCTGTTCAGCACTGTTAATTGCCTTGAATGAAAGCATTTGAGGCCATGATGGACCAAATGTATCTAACTACCTGTAAAGGTGAATCAGATTCATTGAGGCATAGAGTAAAATGGGACAAATAAGGTTTTACATATTGGGCTCTTTAAATATTAGCAGACAGTCACCGAACATGTTATTGCATTGCATTGTTACTACAAATATGCTTTGCATAAAACAGCCATTTTATTGGTCTGAAATAACTGGTATGGGCAGAGCAAAGAAATAAAAAACAACAACATTGATCCTGTAATTACAAGGTGAGCCATATGGCAGATTGATCTTCTCATATTGGTAATTAGAGTGCTGCAGCTAAAAGACTGAGGGTGTAACAAAAAACATGGTTGTTGTAGGATGTGACAATTTATCAAATGTCTGACTGAAAATTTAAATATTTTCACAATACACTTATTTTTTTATGGGAAACGGTTTAGAGTGAGTAGGTAATTCATTCAGGTCAAATGGGACACAAAATTAAGCAAAAATTGAACATTTTTTCAGAAGTGAAAACCAGCATGTTTTTAGGTTACCCGAGGGAGACATTTTTAGTATTTCTGTCACTTAAAAATAATTAAAGATGCTGCTTGAGCCTGTGTCAGCCACAATACTCCAGAATTAGCCATAACTGTTACTCACATGCAAGCACACGCGCGCGCACACACACACACACACACACACACACACACACACACACACACACTGTAGACAGTATGGCATCAAGGAAAAAGGCACCAAAAGAACAGGGATAGGATGGCAATAAAGTTGGACAATCATTCTGTAATGAGTAGCCACAGGTTTCAATAATGATTGATCTGATAAGTGGATTCAAAATATAAACAAACGTGACTGTCCCATTTAACGCAGCAGCTTCCTCACTTTACCTGATCATGTCATCGGAGTGAGGTAATTTAGGAGCTGTCGATGTGTTTGAAAGTCCAGTTTCTAAATTATTTTACTTGTTAACATGTTTTCTTTGTAGATGTGTAGCAGAGAACTATAACAAGTTATAAAAGCAATACTCAATGTAGTCTTTCGAGTTTTAGTTGGTTTTCTTGGTAATCTGCCAAAAAGTGTCCCATTTACCTGACTTCACCCTAATTTCATGATGTAGCCTAAAAGACGCTTTAATTATTAAAAAAAAAAAACCGACCAAATTGACTAAAAACAGGAAAGCAGCATAAAGAGAATACGGCGTAAAGCAATAATACGAATGTAAAATACTTTACACGTAAACGATGCGTTTAGGATGTAATTACAGAAGCAACAGTAAATTGTTTAATCACGTCCATGCCTCTACTTCCAATTACAATAAGTGAACGCTTTTCGATCAGAGGACGGTGGCTGCCAAGGCACATATTTAAGCAACAATATTTTCAGTTGCCCGCCTCTCTTCGCGTAAGAGTGTCAAGTTAAGCATAGAAGCTTACAATTTCCGGTTAAGACCTTCAAATACAATGCTTGGAGGCTTTGTGGGCGCTAGCTCGCGTGCATTGTATCTCCTTCAAACTAAAAAAAAAAAACAGTACTAAAAATACTTAATTGTAAAGTTTCTGTGAGGTAATGTCACTTTTGTAATGCATGTTTTGTTGTATTTTTCATTAAGGTCATAGTGCAGATGTGACAATGAGACAAACATGGTTGTTTTGTATGTGTGGATGGTTTGACCAATGCATGCAAGTTTGCATTATAGCCAAACAATTAAACATCTTGACCAATTTCCTTTCATTAACTGACCATTTAAATCTACTAAACATTATGAATAATTAGCCTATATGATAGATATACAAAATACAGCAAGCTTTATTTAATTTAAAGATCATTTTAAACAACTTACCTAAACATGTTAACATTACTACACCCACATTAATAAAAACATTTAAATTAACTTACTGTTTAAAACCAAAAACAAGTGACATTACTGAAGTAACCTGCACTAAAATATTTATACACGTTTTAAAAAAAAATTAGGGGGCATTATTAACATCTGGACTGGGACAACAGATAAAACTCTTGCTCATTTATAATTAACAGACCATAGACTGTATTTGTATGTGTATCTTTACATTGTCTGTCGGCGCTTTAACTGAGAAGACCTTTATTTTGAAGGCCACACTGTGAACATCCGTCCTGGCCGCGCGTAATTCCGGTGAGCTGGACGCGCCTCTTGTCTTTTGATAAAGGGCTCTTACTCGGGGTGAAGGCAGACATGGAGGAGCTGAGCGCCGTGGGAGAGCAGGTTTTTGATGCGGAATGCATTTTAAACAAACGCCTGAGAAAGGTGAGAGCTGAGAAACATTTTCACTTTCATCCGCGTTGTTTCCCAGCGCCTGTTTACGAACCTTCTCCTGCTCTCGGTCTGCTTTCAGGGAAAGTTGGAGTTTCTGGTGAAGTGGAGGGGATGGTCATCCAAGTAAGTACAAGTGGTGCTCTGCTCAGCCCGAAACAATGAAAACAACAACAACGTGTCGCTTGTTGCTTTCAGTAAAACTGTAAGATCAAACCTTGAATTTTTTTGTCAAACCACCCAGTCGGAACAACAACACCGACGCGATATCACCACATTTAGTCTCCGATCGCAGTTTATTCAAATACAGCTCTCAAATTCTGCCTTTACATTTGCTTTCTTTTGTTCATCACACCTCAAATTTAGGAAGTTAGCGGAAAGCCAAAGGAAATACTTTTTTAGCCTACATCAGTTTTATCTTTACCATACCGATATTTATTCACATAAATGTGATGTTTCAATAATTTTATTCCTGACTTTAAACAAGTTATTTATGTGTGACCGAGCAGTCAGTCATATTTACATGGACTATTTCAATTGATATTTGATTTATAACTGTTTTATATAATGTTAGATTTGTTGCACAACACCAAATGCTAGTTATTTTGCTCTGGTTTTAATCTGCATTTATGTTGCTGCTTGTAATGCTCCACTCTGCCTTCATTTCTTGTCATTTGCCCTTTCTGTTCTCTCCACATTGTTGCTGTAATCCACCATCAATGCACACTGTTGCCTGCCAGCTCCATGGCTTTCTGTTAGAACCACATCCTTTGTGTGTGTGTGTGTGTGTGTGTGTGTGTGTGTGTGTGTAGGGAAAGGGTGGGGGTTGATTATTTCAGTGGTGACTGCTGATCAGAATAGGCTATTCAACAACAAGTGATGAGGAGAAAGGTCATTACAAATGCATGTAGTTCAGATCACTTCAAGACTAAACACAGTGTGATCTGTTTTCAGTTTGTTGCTGCAGCTAAGCAAGTTTTTTTGCTCCTAAATTTGTACAAATTATCAAATGATTAGACACTCACAATGCAGCTCATTAGGCTCTCAGGAAGGAAGCTATCAGCTTCTTTGATTTTCAAATCTAGAAAAAAACTTTATTACAGCTTAAACAAAGCAAAAATTGACACTTGACTAATTTAGCGATTTTAGAAAAGCACTGGACCATGTGACAGTGTCCAAGTGCTACAATGAACCAAGTGAAAAACAAGGTTATTTTTGCTATCTAAAGCACACTTCATGCTGTGCCATCACAAGCACAACAAAGTCGATATTTTCATCACTTCCCATAAATGCCTGAACACCTATGACCTAAAAATGTTCTTTCTTCCTGGTGTGTTCATGTTTTTCTACAGAGATGAACAGTCTGGTTTTCACCACGCTCATGCTCACTGTGAGAAACGCAAACCTGAATTTGATTTAGTAGGTGTGGGAGGCAAGTTGTGAAGTACCTTCTGTCACTGAAAAAGCCAAACTTTCCCAGAAATTCCCCTCATATTTCTGCAGCAGCCCCAGAAAATGTATCAAATTCTCTGCTTTTCCCTTTTCTCCCTTCACATCCTCTCTTTAGCCCTGGCAAATTGATCCTTCTATTTCACTTCAAGGAATTCAAAACCTGCCCACTTTCTCACCTCAGCACAGCTGGCCAGACACTGCTTTAAATGGGTGTGCTAATGAAATCATCTGTTACAGAAAGGAAAGAAAAAAATTGAAGACGCAGCCCTTCAAAATCACTGTTGGAAATGATTCCAGACGCTGTTACGCAATCTGTTGTTTTCAGTCAAGTAACAACATTGGTCCAGCTCATGTATACTGCATGTCAAGCTTTCCACTAATATGTCTGGTTGGTGGTTAAAGTAGAGTGTACAGATCTGTGGACACAAGCATAATAGACTTTCAGTTCTTGACTTGTTGTGAGCTAACATGAAAGGTTTTCTGAGCCAGTAGTTTGTCTCAGATAACACACAGATTGTCTCTGGTAAGTTCACGGCTGCTGGAGCACAAGGGTCCTCGGTTTCTGAATGAACAAAGTGTTGGATGTTTTCTCAATTTGCTGTCCTTGCTGAGGCTGCAGGGTTTGAATCTTGCTGGGCCACCTTGCTTAAATATTTTGACTAATACTTGTGATGTGTGACACTCTTCATGTCTTTTTATTTCAGACACAACAGCTGGGAGCCCCAAGAAAACATCCTGGACCCAAGACTGTTGGCTGCATTCAACAAGAAGTCAGTGTCCTTATCAAGAGTGGTCCATCCTATATCTTTAAAATTGTCTTTGGAGAACCCAAACACACGCGAAGCGACTTGTGCAATCTTAATTTTTTTAAAGCATTTTTCAGACCTAACTAATACATGCTAGATGTAGCTATACTCATAGTTACATTGTATATTGCATTTTTTTTAATATAAATTGGCTGTCATACTGCTAATCTACTTCATGTTTTAATCATACTCAAC